TTATAGGTTTTTCAATCTTATTTTTCTTTTCTGTATCTATACATCCTTCTCTCTCTCTCTCTCCCTCTTTCTGTATCTATACATCTGGTTACGGTCAACTATTATTGCACTGCATTTTTGTTTTGCGTGTATATAATACTGAATCTTGTGCTGATTGATAGTAACGTCAGGTGCCAACCTTTGTTTTCTTGCTATTGTTTATTTTGATTTTGGGTTGTACATTTTTCTTTTTCGTTTGAGTCTTAATCGAAAGTTATTGGATTACATGAATTAATTTGTATAATTTTATTTGGTTGATTCAATGGAGAAGTGTTGTATTGTACTACAGCTTTTGCTGAAAATCTGTCTTTCTCTCCCTCTCTCTCTCACCACATCTGTGCTTACACAGTTACACCGATGAACTATAGTTTTGTATTTATCTATTCTTACTCTCTTTTTTTTTTTTAATTGTTAATTTTGTATTATTTTTTTTAATGCTATTTACATCTAATTTGGTAACCTAGCATATCACAATCATTGGATTGATTGTGGATCTTAGTAAATAGGAGTCTATTGTTCACAAATTAAGTAAATAAATTATGTTCAAGTAATGTGAAAAATAGTATCATTGAATCTTGTGATGCCTTCAAAGTGTCATAAGAAGTAATTGTTTGGTTGTTTTCTTTCTGTAATAATTTAGTTAATTTTCTCATGCACGTTCTCATACCTCAGTTGTTGGAATAGTTTAATACTTTTATCAAACACTTTTCTGGTATATTCTTGGGATTGAAGTGCTGGCTTTTTCTTTGAGGTGTATAATGTATTGGTCTTGATTTGATGTCAAAAATATGAAACTTCAAAGTTTTACACGACACAATATCTTTTTGCTTTTTGTCTTTTTTTTCAGAAGTGCAATTTTACAAAGTTTTTGATTCTGCACATTGTTTTGAAATTCCAGATTTGCATAGTATAAGAGAGAGAATCAATGTCCCAAAAACTTTTCTGATTGGAGCCTGGACTGGATGTCTATGTATATTCTTGTTGACTTTTTTATTGAAAATCCCTGTGTTGGTTATGCAGTATCTGATTAAGATTTTTCCGCCAATTTGGTATTATTTTGACTTCTATATTTTTCTGATGGGAAAGAATAATTTGAATACCATTCCAGAGCACCCATGTCTACAAATCTGTCTTACACAAGGACGTTAATGGCTGAATACTGTTATGTTTTGTTATTAACAAAAAATTTTCCCTTTTCCTAGTGATATTAGTGTTTCTAATTATTATTGCTATAATGGATTCTACTTTCTGGCAGTCCTCTTCTCCTGGGACTGGTAGGTCTTAATCTATCTGCATGACACTATTTTTTTAGAATTTCTGGGTATGTAATAAATATTGCTTGAATCTTATTAAGATTGCTTCAGTACTGAAAAAACTAGAACTTTTTATGAGTATTTTGGCGTCTACTTCTATTCATGGATTTTGAGGATTGAACATTGTGTATGTTGTGGCTCTGGAGGTTGTCATAGTTTCCGAACTTTCTAATTAGATGGACATGGTTTTTTTTCCTTGAAATTGGCTCAGAAGGACTAATTCTTGCAGGGCATGGAAGAATTTTCTTGTCGTTCTGGTTCTATATAGTGCTTTTGTGATTCCATTCGAATTCGGGTTTCTCGAAGACCCAGCACGCCTACTCTCCATCACTGATAATGTTGTCAATGGATTCTTTGCCATTGACATTGTTCTCACCTTCTTTGTAGCTTTCCACGATAGAGCTACCTACCTTCTTGTCGATGAGCCAAAGAAGATTGCTTGGAAGTACGCAAGAACTTGGTTTGTATTTGATGTCGTATCCATAATCCCTCCTGACCTTGCTAGGAATATTTTCCCATATTTTCTCCGGATTTATGGCTTATTCAATATGCTTAGACTCTGGCGCAGAGTTAGTGCCTTTTTTGCCAGGTAATGTGTTTTTTTGTAGTTATGAAGAATGTTGAGGCCTTTTGGTCCAGCCTACAGCTCATTTTTACTTCTTATGCATAACCCCCTTATTTGCTCTTCATCAAACAGATTGGAAAAAGATAGCAACTTCAACTATTTTTGGGTTCGATGCGCTGAGCTCACTTGTGTACGTATATATTTGACACGTCTAGGTATATTAAAAATGAAAGCAATGATATTCTGTCTTTCTCTGTCTTATTTGGCTTTGGATTCTTTGTATAGGTCACATTATTTGCAGTGCACTGTGCTGGGTGCTTTTATTATTTTCTTGCGGCTCACTACCCTGATCCAAGCAGGACATGGATGGGGGCATCTATGACTGACTTCCTTCACCAGAGCCTGTGGACTCGATATGCCACTTCCATATACATGTCCATCAGCACCCTTACAACTGTTGGACATGGAGATTTTCATGCTAAGAATACAACTGAAATGATCTTTTCCATTTTCTACATGCTCTTCAACCTTGGATTGAAAGTTTATGTAATAGGACACATGACAAATTTGGTCCTCCATGGTACCATTAGAACAGGACAATTTGTAAGTGGCTTCTTACTTACCATTCTAATCTAGCACCCTACATGCAGCAGTTGAAATAGATGAAAATTCTGATAGATGTTGCATTCCACACCAGAGGGATACTATTCAAGCAGCCTCAAGTTTTGGACAAAGAAATCAATTGCCTGTTCACTTGCAAGATCAGATAATTGCACACTTGTGTCTGAAGTTCAGAACAGATTTGGAGGGGCTGCAGCAGCAAGAGACTCTTGATTCACTTCCTAAAGCAATCCAGTCGAGCATCTCACGTTTTAAATTCTCCTCTCTTGTGGATAAGGTGTACTTGTTTCGTGGGGTCTCCAATGACTTGATTTTCCAACTGGTAATTTTCCAAGAATCTGTCAAAATTTGAACTATATACATATCTGTTCCCTTATAGTAGATCATTAATTCTGTAATTCTTGAAGGCTTCTGAGATGAAAGCTGAGTACTTTCTCCCCCAGGAAGATGTCATTTTGCAGCATGAAACACCCACAGATTTCTACATACTTGTTACAGGAGCTGTGGTAATGGCCACTCTTCTTTCCCTATTTTTTTAGTTTTGTGCTTAATGGCTTATGAACTAGATGAATAGGATATTTGTGGACTTATTTCAATTGAAAAGCTGGAATTTCTTTATTTTGGTCTCTTCTCCCACTGATTTAAATTGCTTTGCAGGATCTGCTGGTTCTCGAAAATGGCGCTGAACAGGTAAGTTAGCATGATTCTTTGTACATATGATTGCTTCATTAAATGCTTTGTTTGGTGTGTTGCTCCTAGTTTGTTAAGACATCAAGCATAGACTTGAATTGTACTATAAATCATTCAGGTTGTTGGAGAGGCTAAAACAGGTGATCTCTGTGGTGAGATTGGGGTTCTTTGCTACAGGCCCCAGCTCTTTACAGTGCGGACCAAACAATTGAGCCAACTGCTTCGACTGAACCGCACAACATTCTTGAATATTATTCTGGCAAATGTTGGAGATGGGACCATCATCATGAACAATCTCCTTCAGGTCAGTATAGTTGGATCATCCAAATGACTTTGGAAGCTATTCAGTATGCCCAAACATAACTTCATCAAATTGGTAAACTTAGGACCTACTTGAAGATAGGATTGTTATTTAGTTAGAGTGCATTTTCTTCTTTATACTGCTGTCACCTTTTTCTCGACAAATTCTATACTCACTCAATAGTTTTTTCAAGATTTCTCAAATCATAGTAAGTCTATGCACATATATATGTTAGGTATTCTTTATTTTGTCAATGAATTGTGATATAAATGTATTAAACTTGTTTTCCTTGTTTAATTGGGCAGCATTTGAAGGAGTCGACAGACCCTGTTCTGGAGGGAGTATTGTTGGAGGTGGAAAACATGCTCGCTCGTGGTAGAATGGACCTAACCCGAGGCGGATCCAATCTCGTCCCAACGCCAGAGGAATCCACTATTTCCAACAACATCCTTCAATAGAATTGAGATGAAGAGATTGATGTAAAAACAACTAGGGGCATTCGACAATTGCCATTCCAAACAGACCCTCACTGAATTTGTTGTCAAGTTTATAGTATATGATATCCTATTGATACTGTTTTCATGGCCACGTCAATTTGTAAAGCATTTGAAGAAATTTTAATTAGCAGTTCACTTTGAATTAAAGCTTTGTTAGGGTCTAAGTGGTGTTGTTTAGTGGCACATTTAAATGATAAAATGGCTTTTGGTCATCTACCGCAAAACCTGCATTATACCAAGGGACCGAACTAATCTGTGTTATCACCATTTGCTTGAGGATCACCTTATAACAAGTAAGCATCATAGGTGAATTGCATGAGCAATGAGCATTGGTTGACTTATGAGCTCCCATTTTTCTTTTTTCTCTTAGCAATCATTATTCAGCCAGCATTATTGTAATGAATTCATGTACAAGTTGCATATTATTGGAGTACGTTTATTATGGTATCATCCGTTGTTTTTGTAACTTTGATGTCTACTGGTTGCATTTTTGTGTTTTTCTTAATGTCTTACTTGCCCACTTTAAGGTGCGATTTTCTCAATGATCTATTGATGACAAGAGGCTAGTGAAATGTACATTGACAATTGCCTCTCAAATTGAATGATGGTAACCATTTCCATGAAGAATACCGTGTAACCCTATGTAGTTGGATTCGTATAACTCAATATCTAGTGTTGTACCATGGTGCTAATAGGTGCACCTTATGATTCTCTTTAAAGAGGAAGATTCTATCTTGGTTGTACTTTTCTTTTCTTTGAGATTGACATTTATTGTTAGATAAAGTAATTCTATACGCGTTGCTCAATCCATGACTGCAGTGTACCATCCAAAATTTTTCCATCCATGGAACTCCTGAGCTTATACTTTTTCCCGAGTTTGCTGATTTTGTTCTTTCTTAACTTTGCTTCTGCAGCTTTGCGGTTTGGAACAGGGTGTTGACATCCTAGTTGCCACTTCAGGATGCTTGGTGGATATGATAGAGAGAGCCAGAGTTTCTCTCCAAGAAGTCAAGTATTTGGCTTTGGATGAAGCCGATCGAATGTTGGATATGGGTTTTGAGCACCAGATAAGAAAAATTGTTGAGCGGATGGAGATGCCTCCACTAGGTGCAAGGCAAACAATGCTTTTCAGTGCAACATTTCCAACTGATATACAAGTTCGTTAACTAAATACTTAAATATTTCTTTTATTTGGTCAAAATTCAGATTTTAGTTTTGACCAAATCCCTAAATATGATGGAGCGTTTCCTATCATTAGTCATGTGAGAAAGGTTCCCTATCAAGTTCAACTTCCCCCCAAACTCAAGACACATCTAATCTTTCATGTTAGTCACTCAATTGATAAGGCGCTCAGAAAGACCGTTTTCTATCATTCGTAATGTAGGAAAGGTTCTTTACTAAGTTCAACTTTTGAAGACGTGAAAAATTCTAGTAGCGAAAAATCGAAGAGGACACCAACCATGGTCGTCACTTCATTTGACAAGGACATAGATTGTATCTTTATCAATCAAGTGATCCGGAAAAGACTTTTGAGAAGGACAAAGATTGTGTCCTTGTCAATCGAGTGATCCGAAGAAGAGTCATCCCCAACTACAAAAAATACTTGGCCATTTTTTTTTTAATATTATGATTTAATATGATAAAATTACGACTCAAGTAGATAAAATTTACAATCCGTTGAGATTACAAAATATTGTCATCGGTCCCAACATCTTTCTAATAAGATGGCTAGCACTTTGAATTTTATTCTCACATTTTTCTGCTTATTTCTATCACAAGTTAATCATT